GAGAACAATGGAGAAGGAGGGCCATGAGAGCCAGCATGGTAGTGGTTGAAAGCAGCGGACTCTAATCCGGAGAACAGAGTTTGAATCCCTTCATCTCCAAATGAGGCTGGCTGGGTGACCTTGGGCCAGTCAAAGTTCTCTCAGAGCTCTCTTAGCCCCCCCCCCCCATCTCACAGGGTGTCTGTTGAGGCGAGAGGAAGGAAAGGCAATTGTAGGCCGCTTTAGGGTAGAGAAAAGTGGGGTATAAAAACCAACTCTTCTTCTTTTCATGTGTGGAAATAAAGGAGCCAAGGGAGGTAAGGGTCTCTGAAGAGGGAAACACATTCTAAGTGTCTATATGCTAATACTAGAAGCCTCCAAGTCAAGATGGGAGGGCTGCAGTGCTTGGTGATAAATGACAATTTGGATATAGTGGGTGTTTCAGAAACATGGTGGAATGGAGAAAATCAATGAGGTACAGTCATCCTTGGTATAAATGCTATAGATTGGACAGAGAAGGATGTGTTGGGGGAGGCGTTGTGCTGTATATTAAAGAGGGCAAAGAGTAAAATAAGCTAGAATGAATGAACACCCTGGCAGAATTGTGATAAGTGGCAATATTAGGCCATAAGGGTTATTTAAAAGTTAGGATATACTATCGCCCAACTGACCAAATTCTTGAGGCTGACCTTGAGATGGAGAAGGAAATAAGGGAGGTGACTAAAGCAGATGTTATTATACTGGGAGACTTCAACTACCCTCATATTGACTGGGTAAACATATGCTCCAGTCATGCTGTAGAAACAAGATTCCTAGACATCATAAATTATTGTGCACTGGAACAGTTGGTCACAGAGCCAAACAGAAGGGCAGTGATCTTGAACTTGGTTCTGAGTGGCTCTCTAAACCTGGTGAGAGATGCAGAGGTTGTTACACCAATTGGGAACAGTGTCCACAATGCTATTAAGTTCAGCATTCAGGTCAATGGAAAGTTATCCCTAAAGAAATCTCTTCTGTGTGTGTGTGTTTTGTTTCCCCCCTTCAGAGATAAACTACTCTGGTCCCGTTCACACTTGCCGGGAAACACGGGGGGGGGGGATGTGTGTTTGCGCCGGCACAGTGTGTCCCGCTGCAAACGCGATCAGAGAGGACGGCACTTTTCTTCCGCGGCGCACGTTCCCGGCGCGCTCCAACGACGCAAGAGGAACGCGTTGGAGCGATCACACGAAGAGAGTCAGTCAGCAGCCCATAACAAGCCGTTTGTTAGTGGACTTTAGGAGGTAGCTTTTTACTCTGCATCTTCAGCCGGCTGCGATGGGTGCACTACGCTGGCCAGATGTTGCTATGTGATCACACCCTGATAATCCGCCCGGCATTCGTGCCGCTTCCATGGCAACTTCTGCGTCTGATCAAAGCCTCTGTGTGTCAGATGCTTTTTAATGGGAGACCCAAAACTCCATCCACAGTTCGCGCTGGTTACAGAAGCCCCCCCCCCCAATCAGCCTTTCCACTGCTGCTGCTCAGCTGAGCAGGTGGGGAATAATGCACTGATGTCACTTCCAGCTCAACTGGAAATGACATCAGCACATTCCTAGCAATGCTCTAGCATACAGTCAACACTCTGTGGGCCATCTGAACTCAATTAGCTACGGCTTTAGAGAAGGGGGTAAATCCTGCAGCAAGGTAATAAGGTTAATTTAGCATGCTAGGGATCCTGGACGTTTTTTGTCATCTTCTGGGTGTGGAACAGTGGATGATCTTGACAGGCTGGAAAACTGGGCTAAAACAAATAAAATGAATTTCAATGGGGATAAATGTAAGGTTCTGCACTGAGGTAGGAAAAATCAAATGCATAATTATAGATTGGGGGAGACTTGTCTTGGCAGTAGTTTGTTCGAAAAGGATCTAGGTGCGTTAGTAGACCATACAATGAACATGAGTCAGCAGTGTGATGTGGTTACTAAAAAGGCAAATGCGATTCTGGGATGTATCAACAGAAGTATAATGTCCAGATCACGTGAAGTGATGGTACCACTTTACTCTGCTCTGGTTAGACCTCACCGAGAGTATTGTGTTCAGTTTTGGGCACCACAATTAAAGAAGGATATAGACAAGCTGGAATGTGTCCAGAAGAGGGCAACGGAGATGGTGAGGGGTCTGGAGACCAAGTCCTATGAGGAAAGGCTGAAGGAGCTGGGTATGTTTAGCCTGGAGTGGAGACGAATGAGAGGTGATATGATAACCATCTTCAAGTACTTGAAGGGCTGACATATAGAAGATGGTATGGAGTTGTTTTCTATTGCCCCAGAAGATTGGACCAGAACCAATGGGTGGAAATTAAATCAGAAGAGTTTTTGGCTAAACATTAGGAAGAACTTCCTGACAGAGCAGTTCTTCAGTGGAACAGGCTTCCTCAGGAGGTGGTGGGCTCTCCTTTGGAGGTTTCACACAGAGGTTAGCTGGACATCTGACAGCAATGCTGATTGTGTGAACTTAGGCAGATCGTGAGAGGGATGGCAGGAAGGGTTGTCTCAGTGCTTAGTTCTTGTGACCCTTTCTTACACGCCCAGGGAAATGCTGATTGCCGCTTTGGGGTCAGGAAGCAAATTTTCTCCAGGCCGCTTTGGCCAGGGATTCTGGAGATTTTTTGTCATCTTCTGGGCATGGAACAGTGGTCACCATGGGTGTGGAGGGGAAGGTATTTGTGAATTTCCTGCATTGTGCAGGGGGTTGGACTAGATGACCCTGGAGGTCCCTTCCAACTCTATGATTCTAGTGCAATGCTTACTGAAA